ACCTCACCTCTTTTTTTTCTCTCACCTCTTATTTGTAGGTCCCACTTATAGTTTTTAGGATTAGCAAAATGGGCCAACCCGGCCCAACCCGCATACAACTCGAAAAAAGAGCCGGGTTAGGGTTGGCTAAAAAATTAGCTCGCGAGTTGACTCAAAAATGGCTAGAGGATTGGCTCGTTTTCTGCAACTTCCATCAGCTTAAACAATACAATTGTCTTACAGAATAGTTTATAAAAAAGCAAAATAGAAAGTTATAAAATGAGAAGTAAAAGCAAAATATTTTAGTTTCGAATTTTCTTCACAATAAATTTACATCAATATCGAGAAATAATTAGAACCACTTGCTACCAAGTGGGTAAGATATTTGAATCATACAGAGCCAGCACAACCTAACAATATAAAAATCGCAGCGATGTGAGAAAATTAGGGACTTAGGTTTAGAGAAAGAAGAAATACGATGACAACATATGTAGGTTTTGTCCATTTTTGTATATTATATTTTGTATTTGTTATAAAAAAAAATCAACCCGCGAGCTGGCCCGTTTAACCTGCGGGTTGGCTCATTTATTTTTGAGCTAGCTCGGGTCGGGTTGGCAGCTCATGAGCTGCCAACCCAATCGGGCTCGTTTTTGCCGGGTTGCAAGCCAACCCGACGGGTTGGCTCATTTTTGTCGACCCTAATAATTTTGTTTTTACAATATAAGATAATCATTTTCCTACAACATAGGAAAATTATTTCCCTTTGTTTAATGGTGACAATCAGATAAAACATATTGAGGAGTGCAAAATATGAGTTGTGCGTTTTGACTTAAAAGATAAATATGACATACCAAATAATGGTAATTCAGTTGGCGCATAAGAGCTTAGTATATAGCGGTGAGAGCATGCATTCGATCTTCTCCAATATCATCTTTAGATGGAATTTAAAGCTTTAATCCTGAATGCTTCTCGAACAAAATTGCATCTCGTAAAGAATACATGTAACTTATCCAAAACAAAAATGACAAACATGACATTTCCGGAGCAAATATTTGGTAGACCCGACTCATATGAGCTGGGTAGATAGAAAGAAGAGGAGAGATGAGAGAGAAAAAGAAGAAGAGAGAAAGGAACTATAGAATTAATTTTCGCATTTCCGAGCTATTGAAAAGTGAAAATGTGCTTGTTTGAGATAAGATATCTATTGTCCAACATGAAAGGTTCTTCTTTTTTCTTTGTGAAGGTGTTCCTGTGTTTCAAGAATTAAGAAGAACAACGCTAAATCTCTGATTAAACTATAAACACATATTCTTTTGAAGTGTTTATTTTATAGACATGAATTGTTACATGCAAATGGGGAAAAAGATCACGTGGGATATAGCACCGGACCTTTACCGCCAGAACATGGTCAGGTCACAACTCACAAGGTCTCTGGTTTATTGCTCTCTTTTTTTTTATTTTTTTTTCATTGATACTGATAGTGTGCATCTGTACCTCTTTATTCATATTTTTCAACGACAGAGTCATCAAGTAAGTATGAACCAAATGGACAAGATCTTTCTATATCCCGCGGTCATGAATTTACGATATCAATGGTGTCCTTGTCTCATTGATATTCGGGCTTCTTGATCTTTCCCTGTTGGCTAACATTTTTGTGGTTCTAAAGGCATGCCGCATGCATATTTACATCTACAAAAATATATTTTAACGAGACCAACAAAAAAGCAGCAGCATATATTTCTCTCTCTTTCTCTACTTAGATATTTTATCTTTTATCTTTTGTTTTTTTAGGTGAAATGAAATCAGCCCCGGACATAATTGGACAAATTTGCCGGATATGAGATGTTACTTGAAGGCTTTTTATTCTAAGATTTTGGATAAAATGCTTCCTTGTTTTCAACGCAACTCGTACTCATCGAACATAAGTAATCAAGAACAAAGTATAGAGAATATTCATTTCAGATTTTTATGATTTTTTTTATCGGTTTGGTGTTTCTTCTTTTAAAGAATATAAAATTATGTAATTTTAAATAAGAAAAAGAGATAACATAATAAAAATTATGGGAAAAAAATGAGAGTTTTTTTAATTTAGATTTTAAATAAAAAAAATTAATTTTGACTAGAATAACCCTCATTTAAAAAGACAAATATATTTTTTCTTTTTATTTCTAATTGCTTTATGTATTTTATATCTTGTCCTTTTCAGGATTCAACCACTTGTTACCCGTACCCACCACATACAAAGTCGCCTCTACCCGTATCCGTTCCAATCTTATCTTAAAACTAAGTTCCCAGTTAATGATATTGAATATTATTAGTAGCAACCGACAAAAAAAAATCATGTTTGTTAGATGAATTCAAATATTTTTTTAAGTAAACATGTATGTTAGTTTTCTAAAATATAGATGACAATATGACATCACCTTGGTATTCAAATAAATTTTATATTCAATAATTATAAATAGAGACATCAAAATTATTATTTTATGTATGTATCGTTAGAATGTTATCAATGCATGGATCAGCTTATGATTTTAAAATTAAATTAATATTATATTTTATTATAAAATAAATTAATTAATGTTTATATTTGTAGAAGGCTAAATTAATATCACCTTTTTTAATGGAGAGATTAAATTGATATTTTTTTTATAAAAAAAGACTAGTAATGGCACATGTATCTTATTAAAATACTAATTTACTTTCACTTTTATTTTCTTTTAGTATTTAACAATATTGTCACCTGAAAATAAAATTGTAAATCATATATATAGGTAGGATATTCTTACACCGGTGTAAGAATTAGAAATCTTGCTCTCAATCTTGACCATTGATCCACTCATATCCAATGGCTCACATTACTAAAAAATTTGAACCCTTAGATAAAAGTGGAATCAACGGACAATATTGAGAGTGTAACTTACACTGGTATAAAATGATCCTGAACCATATATATATATATATATATATATATATATATATATATATATATATATATATATTTTGGAAACTTGTAAATCATATTTTGGTTGATACCAATTATCGAAACAGATATTAATGTGCAATAAAAGATGGACAGATCAACTATTACAAGTCTCCATCTGAGATGACATATCTTTATTGGACGGAACTAAGAAATTGGGATTGGCTAACCAATAATAGGCTTATTATTATAAATGATCTCTATAATGCTGCAAAACCCTCTCATTTCAAAGTGGGTGGTGATCAGTGACATGTGTTTTTCAGTTTAACGAACGGTTGGCTTGCAGTCCAGATACATATCCCCTTAATTTCTTTGATTTCACCCCCTATGAAATACTAGAATAATATTGACACTTCTTGTAAAGAAAATAATAGGGGAAAAAACAGAATATATTAGCATGACAAGTAAAGAGCGTGGATGAAAAGCATAGCAGCACCACCAACAGTGAGAACAAACATTGACAGCTCAACCTTCAGCCGACTTTATGAACAATTAACAAAATCAAACTTTAATGAAGGTTGGTGACAAAAGGATATACATCTTTATCTTCTCTTGATTAGTGGAGCACTCCATTCGGTTGAGGTTTTTTCCCATATATTTCTGGTGAACCTACTGGTTGGAATTGGAAGCATATTTTCTTGTTGCGTATATTTAAACATTTTTTTTGTTAATATAAAACATTAAATTCTGGTAATAATGTTTGTTTTTCTTTTTGGTACAACTAACGATAGTTGAATTTGGTGGTCATCATCAAGGTTTGTCTTTTCCAACTTATTAGTTGAATTCATATATCACAGATGATTGATACTAAACCTATTTTTGCGTCCATATATTAAGTGGTTTTATAAAACAAATATCAATTATTAATTTTTTTTTTTAAATTATAGCTACTTCTCTATTCATGTTTAAAAATTAGGAGATAAAAAACTTCCGAACTTCAGTTACAAATTAATTTCAAATGCCAAATATGACTTTATCTATTTATTAAGCATGCAGGAGTAATTTAAACTACGAAAATCATTTTATATGTATCAATTTAATACAATAGTATATACAGAAGTTGAACTAATAATGGTTGAATACGGTGTTAAACGATTTGTGTCCGGAGGAGGAGAACCGAAATTCAAACCCTAGAAAATGATTTTTGAAGGGACCTCCTAGTCACAAAATATTAATGGTATGACTTTTATTGAACCAACGAAAATATGACTAAATCACTGAAAGCTAAAAATGGTATAACTTTTATTTACGATATTATTATTATTTTTATTATTATTTTCTCTCAAACCGTATTTGTATTAATTTTCCCCTGAAATTATAAGATTGAATCTCTCTGATTTAGAATGTCAGAATTTACTATCTGATATTAATTCAACAGTTTTATGAAATTCAGAAAAGAGAACTCTAACCCATAAAATAAGCGAAACACACTTCTTAAGATTCTTTTTTCATTTTTCCAAACGAGTAAAGTATACAAAACGGTGTTTACCAATATATATATATAAAACGGTGTAAAGTTATTTGGTTCGCAAATTTTATGCTAAAAAAATAAAAGGGTATGTTAAAATAAACAAGGAGTGGCTTAATAATTACCTTAGTCAGTAGTTAATGTAGTATTATAGAATTTTTTATTTATAAAAATACATATATCTATAAACGTTTCATAAAAGCATGTAAATAGAAAAACACGATGGTAATTTTAACGTGCAGAGATAGCATTATTATTTTTTTTTTTGAAAATAAGGGAAAGAAAGATAACATTATTTTTGTGACGCCAATTGGGTAAGTATGATTCACTTTGACACAAACAAGAAACACTCAGTACAGTTACCATTACCACCATTGATTAAAAGCCGATGACCCAAAGGCCAAAACCATGTGGAAAAAAACAATTTTGTACTGAGAGGTTGATGACCCAAAAGGATCGTCGCCAATCAAATCAATGTACCTAACCTTAGCTAAAAAAATCCACCACACTGAGAGAGAAAAATAATAATAAATGAAAGAAAAAGAAAGATAGGAAATTGTCAGGTCACAGAAGCAGCTTTATCTCCCTTTTTTTTTTCTGACCTCGCTTCCATCCCCTTTCATGCTAATGATTCCGCAGCTTACTCTTTCCTCTCTTTTGTGTTTCAAAATAAAACAAAACAAAACTTCAACACCACATCATCTTCTTACTCTCTCTCTCTCTCTCTCACGGATATAAATCAATCGTTTTTAATGCTTTCGCTTCTCCCTCTTTCTCTGTGTATGTAAAATCTTTGTTTCCATCAGACGTGGTGCAGAAAGTTGTGTGTCTCAGATCCCTATACACACACCGAAAACGATACAACTATGTCTGTGTTCTTCTCTCTCCTATCCTCATCCTGCTAAAGTTCCCTCTCAAAATCATACACATAGCTTATAGAGTGGTCCTCAACCTCAACCCTTCAAGCTCAGCCTTTTTTTTCCCCCTTATATAATTCTGAATTCTCTGCTTTGTCTTCAACCCCACCTTTTACCTTTATCACTGCGCTTCTTCACACTTCTCACCTCATAGTTGGGTTGGGTTGGGTTGTGTTGTGCATATTGAATATTAAAATGCAAGAACCAAACTTGGGAATGATGGGTGGTGGTTTAAGCGGAGACGGCGACCACCACCACCGTCAACTGAAGGCGGAGATAGCCACTCATCCACTTTATGAACAGCTTCTAGCTGCCCATGTGGCTTGTCTCAGAGTTGCCACTCCCATCGATCAGCTTCCACTGATTGACGCTCAGTTATCTCAGTCTCATCATCTTCTACGCTCTTATATCTCTCACCACACTCATTCCCTTTCACCTCATGACCGTCAAGAACTTGATAACTTCCTGGTAAACTAATATAAATATACCCTCTTGTTATACACTTTTGAATAAGGGAATTTTTTTATTTTTTATTTTTGGTCATTTTGAGGCCTTAAGCTGCTTTCTCACTTTTATTTGTCCCAACAAATACAATTTCATGGATCCTTGTTATTATTATTACTATTCTGCAGGGACAATATTTGTTGGTTTTGTGTACTTTCAAAGAACAGCTTCAACAACATGTCAGAGTCCATGCCGTCGAGGCTGTTATGGCTTGCCGTGATATTGAGAATACCTTACAAGCTCTCACAGGTACTCTCTTAATTCCTCACTCCTGCGGTGATTGTACTCTTTACTCTCTAGTTTACTAGCAAACTATTTTTTCTTTCTAAGTTTTATTGTTTTGTTTGTTTTCATTAGATGAACAGGCTATTACTTACTTTAAATATCATTGACATTAATAAAAAAACAAATAGTCTATTTTTAGGTATGTAGATAAGATGTTGCTGTTTTTTGTGGGGAGTTATTTTACATAAAATTAATTATTTCACTATAATATATAATCCCTTATAGGCTTATGTAGATATGCATTTTTCTCTTGTGTTTGACGCTATTTGGAAGAAAGGAAAGAAAATATATAATAGTATAAAGATTTTATTTTCTAAAACTTATATTTTGGTTGGTTTAGGCTAATATGAAGGAAGTGGGGGTGGTAGGGTCTACTAATGTCATCTGGAGGAGTATATGTATACACAAATGGCAATGGGAAGGGTTAGTTAGTTTGGTGTGGAATGATATACTCCCTCCCACTTTTGACACCGCCAGGCCAACAACTTCTTAATTCTAATGCCGTAACCGGCCGAATAATTTTTGTTCCAGAAAGGATCTGTCATGTTTATTTATATCCCTATAATGCAATTTTCGGATAATTCGTATCATTTTTAGTATTTTTAACTTGTATATGTGCATTTAGTATATTTAATTAAATGGAAGTGGAACACATGGAAATTAGACAAATAACGAGTTGACAATGATTAAGACTGTTAGAAACAGTAATATGAGTCGTGTTGAACAGTTGATTGGTAGTCCTCTCTTGTTTTTCCCTGCAATAGATCTACGGAATTTTGGAGAGATTTTCCCTAAATTTTGGGCTTCTTGTCAATCCGCATCAGCTTTCAGTTCTGATTTATGGATTTGTATGATTTTACTGCTGGGGGCCGTTTCTACCAATCGGACTATACACAGGCATTTTTCATTGGGAAAATAAAAGCTATTTGTTAGAACAAAGATTTTAAAATGAACAGACGTTATCCGATCTTAATCATTGATCTAGTTGCACCTAAAAGCTCTAATTTATTAATCACCTAATTCATTAGATATATATATATATATATATATATATATATATATATATATATATATATATATATATATATATATATATATATATATATATATATATATATGAAGGGGCAGGATATTTTTACACCGGTGTAAGAGTTAGAAGTCTTACACTCAATCTTGACCATTGATCCACTTATATCTAATGGCTCACATTACTAAAAAATTAGAGCCCTTAAATATAAATGAGATCAACAGACAAGATTAAGAGTGTAACTTACACCGGTGTAAAATGATCCTTACCCATATATATCAAATCAATGACTAACACTGAAAATATAAATATATTGTCTAAGATACGCCTACTTTTTATAATACTATTATTGGACATATATACTTGCATGGACAAGGGTGTGAAGAATTGCCTTGGTTGCATGAGGCTGAGGCAGCTTTGTGTTCAAACCTGGCTGCTGGGGTGTGTATAATGTATAAACAACTGTCAACATACCTCCACAAGAGTCAAAGGCTGACTCATAGGATGGTCCCTCGTACGAATGTTTTTTTTCTGCATAGAATTATGGCAGCATGTCACTTACGGGTGAAATTTTTTAAAATTGAAAGTAGTTATTCATGCGGCTGCTTATGCATATATAATTTCAAGTTAATTTGTTAGTTGGATTAAATACACGTGTTATTATTTCTTGGAATTATATATGCATAAGCATTGAAATTATATATGCATAAGCAGCCGCATGAATGACTACTTTCAATTTTAACAAATTTCTAATTAATCATATCTTTTGCATCATAACATTTATAATTTAACAAGCAACGCTAAGTATTACGAATTGTTTATGGTTATTTCCGTTTGAGCTTTTAGTATCGAACTATATATGCGTCTCATCATTATTGATGTATCATGTATGAACACACTTATGGCTATTTAAGTGGGATGAAGACGATATTCAACTGTCCCTTTTGGACGCCTTCAAAGCATTACCTACATTTCGAATATACGATTACACAAATAATGTTAAAGAATAACATATTTATTAAAGAGACCCTCATCCGACATCTTAAAGTTGTGGATTGAAGTGATTCTTTATATGGTATCGTATTAGAGCTCACCACAAAATCACTAGTTCGATACCCACCGCCTCCACTTGTGGAATTAAATAAGCATGAGGTAAAATCAAAAATAAAATAAAATTGAGCATATACAATATCCACACCTTAAGATTTTGGGTTGAAATAGTTCTTTACAATTAATTTTAGTTGGCATGGTGCACCACATTTGTGAATTATGATTGAAAATAGATTATTAACCCATCATTGATGCTATTGGCAACTGATTTCCGGCCATGCCTTCCTTTATGTATGATTAAGATGTATCCAACAATTTGACATAATTTTGAGACCACATTATGGATCCACTGACAAAAGAGAGACCTTAAAGTAGCTAGATTGCTCACTATGTCTTCCACTTTGAAATGACAAAGTGGTCAGGCCTAGGTTTATCTTGGCATTTTCTGTTTTAATCCTTTAATTGGGATTGAAAAAATATCTCTCATAATTCTTTCCAAAGAGATAAATTGCAAAAGTGAGAGCTTTTAATAAGATGAGGCTAAGAGGCCAGATGATATAACCTGCATGAACCAAACCTCTAATAATTTGACTTCAAAATTCCATATGCTATGTCCATGTATCTGCATGTTATTATATGTGTGATATATATATTTCGTATTTAAGGTGTGTGATTCATTATTTATATTTCAGGAGTAAGTTTGGGAGAAGGAACTGGTGCAACTATGTCAGATGATGAAGATGATTTGCAGATGGATTTTTCTTTAGATCAGTCTAGCGCTGAAGGGCATGACATGATGGGATTTGGTCCGTTACTTCCTACAGAATCTGAAAGGTCACTGATGGAAAGAGTTCGCCAGGAGCTAAAGATTGAGCTGAAGCAGGTCATTGTTTTAGTCCATATATGCTAGCTGTTCTTGCAAGTGTTTTCCTTAAGTTTGAATCACCAACCAGATTTAGTTTGAGCAGGGTTTTAAGTCAAGAATTGAAGATGTCAGGGAGGAAATATTAAGAAAACGAAGAGCTGGGAAATTACCAGGTGACACAACTTCAGTGTTAAAGAACTGGTGGCAGCAACATGCAAAGTGGCCTTATCCAACTGTAAGTAACCAGCATCTTCATGATGCATGCATCAACAAAAAAGTTTCTAGTTAAGCGGGGAGAATTCATGCTACTAAGATCCAGAAAAAGTTTCTTGGCAATTGGCATGTTGCTAAATAGTATTGATTTAGTGTAATCCTAACCTTAGCTTCTAAGATTTTAGGACGTGAAGTTCTGATATCTGATGATATAATTATAAACTCTGGCTCAATAAGCTTGTTGCTTTTGTTATGGTTTCAGGAAGATGACAAGGCAAAACTTGTGGAGGAGACAGGGTTGCAGCTGAAGCAAATTAATAATTGGTTCATTAACCAAAGGAAACGAAACTGGCACAGCAACTCTCAATCGGTTACCTCTTTGAAGTCCAAGCGCAAGAGGTAGTGTCATATTTTGTTCCTAACTATGTGGAACAGCTAGTAACATAACTATATATATATATGTGGACTTACTTTATGCTTATTGCTGATTGCTAATAGATTGTAGACCCACTAAGGACTCCAGTGAGATGCAGGAGATAGGAGATGGTTTACTGTAATGTAAGATGGCTTTAAAAAAAAAGCTGGTTGTAAATTTGTGGAATTTAACGGATGCAAACTTTTATGTTAGATGTGGTTGCCTCCCTTTTTCTTTTAACTCTCCTTGTAAAGTGTTTGCTATATACGTTTCTGACCCGCTGAAGAAGTATTACTATTATTATACAGATGCTTGAAAGATTCGTTGTTCTTTGTATACATACATATTTTTCCCCCTTATATTTGGAATTTCATCTTCGAGCATACGAGTTCTTTTCTCAAAAAGGGAAAACAATCTTTATGCTAGTATCGCGATTTGCCTTGGTGACGATAGCTAATTCATTTACAATAATTGATAGTATTGTATTTATTATTTGAATGCGCGTCTACGGGTAGAAATGAGTCAAAAATATAAATTTAAAGAGCAAATGAAGTCTTAACTTTTTTATTTTATTCTTTTGATACGTTGGTAGGAATTAAACCCACAATGAATACAAGCTACCCAAACTTCTCGCCACTATATTCCTAGCTTAATGAAGTCTTAACTTCATTTTTGGTTTATATGTTCTTGTGCAAATAATTTTATAAGAGTTGGAATTTTTGGTTCACATCAAATAGAAGCTAAGCATGAGTTACTTATACACTTAACACTTTATTAGTTAAAGGAAAATAGTTTTCTCAAACTGTAGGAGATAATTATCTCATGTCGAGACATAAAAAGATGTGCCTGCAAATTTTTTTTTTTTCTTTAACTTGTGGGCTTCACATTTTTTGTTAGTGTAGGGAAAAAAATTTCTCTCATGTTAAATGAGAGAAGTATTACCCTTAGTTAAATTGTATTACATAATTATAAATCATATATAATTGAAACATGAGGCGATAATCGAGTCGAATCGATGTAATTAATTATAACTCATTTACACTTCGTGTGCCTTATTAATATTTTTTGATTGGAGGTTAAAATAGAAGTAGCATATCTTCGATTCTTTCATAAATCTTATCTTACTCGTATGTTTCTTCATTTTAAATCTAAAACTTCCAAGATTTATACTGTTGGATACATACATTATGCTATTTAAAGATTTCTTTTAAAACATCTTACAATTTTTTTTTTTTTTTTTTTAGGTACAGTAATTGAAGGAAGCAAATTCGATGTTTAAAGTTTGAAATATTAATATGAAGGGTAGCGTTACTTGATCATTGGGACTTATTTCTTCATTAAATTTTATAACTTTTAGGCCATAAATTTAAAATGGAATTTTTTTATTTGAATAAATTAATATACAAAGTCAGTTCATTACTCAATTAATAATGTTTCATTACAAATATCTAATTGGTTTATTTTATCGGAACTTATACATGGAAAGTTGAAACTCTATTACGTCAAATAACGTACGGACATAGGTAAAACTTAAGTGGCAGGAAATTTTCTTCTATATATATTCCCACTTAATAAAAAAATTCTACCGAAAAAATAGTTCTGAAATTTCTCTTCATTTTTTTTAAGAGAAATGTAGTTCTTATGTTGCTTAATATATATATATATATATATATATATATATATATATATATATATTTTTGCAGCAACCAATTATAATTGTAAAATAACAAGAGATAAGAGTAACATTGAAATAAGAAAATAGATCTTTATAAATAATAAAGATATTCTAAGATATTCTTTCCAACAATAATAAAGTTATCCTAAAGATATTCTTTCTAACACTCCCCCTCAAGCTCGAGCGTATAGATCATAAGCAACAAGCTTGAAAAATAAAGACTAAGAAACATAACATCAAAATAAACGAGCGGGGGTTGTAACAACTCTACAACTCACCTTAAAGAAAAATAACAAACTAAAATAAAAATATTATCTATATCTCGAATACTCCCCCTTTAAGATGAAGGGACACTTCATCTTGAGAAGAAAGAAGACTAAAATGAAGCTTCTCGGAACATAAATCGGAGAAATCGACAACAAATCAACTGGAATGAACATTAGTCTAAAGACGTGGAAAAGACATCAGCCTAAAGGGCTGGAAAAGACATTGTTGCAACTGGGATACAAGCCGACAAAGCCACTTTAACTGGAATAATCCACAGACCAGGCAACAACGGAGAGAGACATCAACCAAAAGGGCTAGGAAATACATTGCTGCAACTGGGATACGAGTCGACAGAGCCAGTGTAACTGGAATAATCCGCGAACCAGGAAACAACATAGATAAATGCTGCAACTAGAATACAAGCCGACAGAGCCAATGTAACTCGAATAATCCGCAGACCAAGAGGGAGACGACGTGCGAACACTGGCACGGTGGTCGCGGATGGCAACAACGACGCTGATGGTGATGAAAGCAAACAGAGGGCTTTACGGTGGCTGGGTCGTTGACGGTGACGGAGCACAACACTTGCAGTGGCAAAGGCAGGAATGAGAAGAAGAAACTAAGAGAAGCAGAGAGAAAAAGAGAAAGGAAAAAGTTGGAAAAGTTAATCCCTCATGGTGGGTGATATCTCTTTACTACCATATTAAAATTATGAAAAAGAGTAAGGAAAGGAGGACAAGGATTCCTCTCGTTAGGTTTTGATACCATGTAAAGAACCAATTCAACCCAAAAGCTTAAGCTGTTAGGTCACGGTCTCTTTAATAGTTTATATTATATTCTAACACGCTCCCTCACACGAGAGCCCACTGGACTTGAAGGGTGAATAATGCACAGGCCCACCTACCTGTGCTAAGAAAATTCCACAAGAGAAAGTGAGGAGGCGATGAGAATTAAACCCTGGACACGAGGCTCTGATACCATATAAAATAACAAAAGACGAAAGGAACATTGAAATAAATTTGTATATTGAATTCATTCAGGAGAGTACAATATATAAAGAAACACTAATGAGCTTAACTTATATCTAACTTAAATCCTAATGAAATAGGAAAATAGATCTTTATAATTAAATAATAAAGATTCTAAAGATATTCTTTCTAACAATAATAAAGATATCCTAAAGATATTCTTTCCAACAATAATTATGTATTTTCGGGAATACATATTATAATCAGAAAATTATTATTATTTCTCTCCGTATCAATAGACAACTTATGAAAAAAAAAGGAAAAAAATAGCTTTAAAATTATAATTATATAATTTTAAAAATATATAATTATAATCAGTTGCTTTAAAAAAAGCAACGTAAGAAAAAAGGGAATTTGTTTTAAACTCTTTTTCCCTTAAAATTAAGGGTTTAACTTTTCTTATGTTGTAGGATTGTAGGAGAGAAAAAAAGTAGAGAGAAGTTAAATGTGGGTCCCATATTTTATATTAAAAAAGAAAAGAAGAATTATTTGGCACGGAAAATGAATTTGTGTAGGAAAATGAGAATATCTCATGTGGCATGAGAGTATTATTTCCCTAAAATTAATGGTTGAAGATGTTCGTGAAGATGTTCGTGATTCTTCCTCTCTGAATACGAATGAATTTTTCCCGTGGCAGAGTTGGACGAGTTAGTCCAAATGTAAAGTGTTAGTGGGCTCACACAATTGAGTCGAATTAGTTTAATCGACATGACAATAAAACAAACTTGGTTCCTTATTGAGTATATCATTCTTCAAAAGTAATTTAAATTAAGGGGTATGTTATTTTATCTTTTTTCTTCTTATTGAAATTAAGATTCAAGGGTGTTAAAGATGAGTAGGTCTAGACAAGAAAAAAAGGTGAGAAAAATATCATATCCCTTATAGGACGTTTGATATGAAGATTTTGGTAGAATTCTTGGGAAAGTGGGGTGGGGAAAAAATGTTTACCATGTTTGACATGAGATAGATTAAAAAATACTGGTATAAAATATTTTCCAAGAATATTTTTTTCAACTGGACATTGGCAAAAAAAAAAAATACCATTCAAAGTGTGGTATTTTTCTTATCCTATCATGTGAGGATCTTGTTTTTAAAATTTGTAACAGAAATGTCCTGAATAAATGTGTTATCTTGTTTAATAAAAATCCTTCTTTAATAAAACAGAGACACTCTATTATAAAAAGAACGTTTAAAATAAATTTTAATTACGATGGCTAATTTTGTAATTTCATTCCACATTTTTCACGACCAACCAAATATATCATTATAAAAATAACTCAACATTCCCGACAAAAATTTTGGCTTACCAAACATCTTTTTTGTAACTTACCCTAGATAAAAATATCCTGCCATATTCTCCCTAAATTTTTTTTCCCGATAAAAGAAATTATCTTCCACACTAAACGTACCCTTAAATCAATATAATAATAAGGAATACCAATGAGGCAACTAAATTCAATGCTTGAGTCGTTTTGTTTTTAGCACATGAAACAATCATAGCCGTAATTTTAATTTATAAATTTGTTTTTTCTCTCGTAAATAATTGTCATGTTTGCGGAAGAGATCCACCAAGTGTGAGATTAAATATAGGAGACTTCTTTTCAGTCTTTTAATGCGTGCCTATTAATTAAAAGTTAGATACAGTTTTTGTTTATTATTAACAGTTTTTTTTTTTTAACATATAAACATGCAAAGAGTTTGATATGTGAAAAGTTGTTAATAATAATTTTTTTACTGATATGAAAATATTATGAGTGCATTTGGATGAGTTTTTTTTCTTAAATAATTTTTTTTTAGTAATTTTATATATAAAAAAGTGCTTATTAATTTTAATATTCAAATAATTTTTTTATTTAAAAGTACTTTTATAAATTCTATCGAAGTATAAAATAGCTTTAACTTTTAAAAAAGCCATTATAAAAAAAGCAACCCATAATTTTTTTTTTAAAAAAATTCATCCAAACGAACTCTGTATATTAAGATGAAAAGTGGAAAATGATAATTAATTTATCTATAAATAATTAAAACCATCTCGTTCATGTTAATTGAGATATTGGAGGAAAAATATCAGTAACTTCCCAATACACATTTTGTTTATGTACGTCACACTAATGGGCCTGTTGGGCTCAGGTGAAAATTGTGATGATCCTAGATTCCTAGTTTAGGTTGTCCGGTCCAGTTTTAACTTGGGAATTCTAGCTTCACATAGCGATATTTTTATATAAATTTTAAACGATAATTAATTTTACATCTATTTTAAAATTTAAGATGCCCATCAATAAATCAATCATGATTTGTCTAGCCAAGACAATTGTGAAAATGTGAGCCACTGATTAATCAATCAATTTGTGGGTTGTGTGTATAAGAATATATTTTTAATAATTCGGTGCGATTAATTCTGCAGAGCTTTCCTTTTGTCGAGTTGCGTCGAAAAATTGATGGTAATGAACGAAAAAAATGATGGCGAAGACAGAGAGAACAAGAGGATAAAATGATTGGTGGCGAACGGAATACATAGCATTGAATTACAGATCAATTCGCAGATGGGTTGTCGCCGTCGCTGCCACCGGTTCTAAAACGACGCTCTACTCTTAACTAGGATTTTGTTCTTTTTCTTATTTTATTTTTTTGGTAATCATTCTTTTTCTTATTTTTAATATTTTAAATAGGATTTAGGAAATTCTAAACATAATTTTATTATTATTTTATATAATATTAATAGCATAAAATAGATAATAAACAGTAAAAATAATATTTTAATAATTAAATAAATATATGTCATTAAAATAAATTAAAAAAGAAAATATTACTCTTTTTATTTTAAAATTATTATTATTTAAATTTTTACATAATTGAGGATTAAAAAGATTATTGAATATTTTTTATTTTAAAGAAACGATTTCATTTGATTATATTACTTTCCCATTCTATTATTATTTTCTCATTTAATTTAGCCTAGGTATTAAAAATGAAGATAAAATTAAAAATATAAATATTCTTAATTTTTTTTAAACAACAAAGAAATTTAAGCAAATGAAAACATTTAAAATAAAAATTAGTTTAAAATAAATAGAGTAATTAATGTGTTTATTTTTTATTTGAAATAGAATATACTTATAATCAAATGTGAATTGTTGATTTGATTTTGATATAACTATAATAAAAATAATTATAAGAGTTTAGATTATATTATTAGACTAAACCCTTCATCCCACTTAGTCTAAGTCTATATCGGTTACATTCTTATCCCTGAAACATAATTTCTAATAAACTTAGAATCCATTTTTTCTTCTTCTTCATACTACAAATAGAAAATGTAAAAATTAGCATTAAAGCATCATGCATGCAAGACTTATGTCCAGGTAAATTTTGTCTCATAATATCTATCATTAAGAAGGTAAGAGTTCACTCTTGATTTGTTTTATGGTAACGAGACAAAGCAGGAAAAGCAGCTCATAAAATTATTATGAGAAAAATGTTTGTCTTTTTAAATGACACAATTTATATCATTTCACTATTATAAAGAGGTAGGGACCTGTACCTTTATTAATTTTTTGTTCACTCTCTCTTCTCCCTTATCTATATCTTTTTTTCATTTAAAATAACATAACTTTACATCTTTAAAATGATACATATTTTTTTCTAAAATTATCTGACTAAAAACTATTAGTTAAGTTGAAATAATCCTGTATCAGTTATTTGTATTTGGTAGCATAGTCTTATCTATGGGGTTAAAGGTTGTACCTTCAACATATATCGGAAGTCTTTTTGTTTTTTTGTTTCTGTTGGCACGTGGGTCACTCTTGATAAGAAATCCCAATCTCCTGAAAACGAGATTATAGTTATTTGAGAAGACTCATGGCATATAGGTTACAGAAACATGAACATGCCATCTATAATTTTATTCTCCTTTCCATTTTCCATGTGAGCACGACTTGGCTTCCTTTCTTTCTGTTTCATCACTGACGTCATGGCGATTTCTGGATCGATTAAAGCATTGACAAGAAAATATGAACCCACAAATATTACCAACACGTTTCATGTAACGTATATTCATCAAGTTTTAAGTCTGACAGTTATGTTGATGTAAGGGGGAGTTTGGTATAGGATAATTTTTTTTTTAACTAGGAATTTCAATTTTCAAAAATATGATTTTTACATTCAGTGTATGATAGTATCTGTAAATTTAAAATTTAAAAAAATTCAGTTTCTCGAAGTTCTTAAAGAATCCCGCATACCAAACACCCCCTAAAAGGTAACTTCTCCTGCTTACATGACAAAAATAAGTCATTTCTTTTTTTTTTTCTTTTTTTTTTAAATGGTGTGTGGCCCAATTTTCTTATTTCACCTGCAAAAAATTTCTGCATCTGCTGCGAAAATATAAAACCTTAAATATATGGAGAAAAATGTTTATCATTTTAAATTATACAAAATATTGCATTTTAAGAAAGAAGTAGACACAAAATAATATTTTTTATTTAAAATTTAAATTAAAAAAAATCACTCACTTTCTCCTCTATAATTTTTATTTTTTGTGTCTATCTCTCTTTTAAAATGACATAACTTATGTCCTGTAAAAGGACCAACATCAAACTCTATATACGTACAGTGTTACATTGAAATGGATCTTTTCATATTAAAAAAAATATGACATGATTAATTGAGAAAATTACAATTATACAAGGATAATCAACTATTATAATTTTATAATTACCCATTTCAATATTTTTTCTCCCTTTTTTTTATCACATTCATTTTTACATGATTATAATTCTATGATCATGTTATTTCTTTTAACGAGAGGATCCAGATCCGTGTTGCACCTTATAGAGTTAAATTGTTGATGTGATGTCCGAGGCTCAGAATGAGAATCTTTATCAAACAAAAAATGTGGCAATTAAGCAATTTTTATAAGTAGAGTATATTATTTTTTATAAAACATCTTATTCACACCATTTAAGCTTAAAATAAATTGAACCAAAATTTTTAAATTATATATAATATATTTGTTCATTGTACCAACAAAAAAAATAGCTTTTGTAATTTTTTTTCCTAGTTGAAATGTGAGGTGAAAATTTCATAAACACTACACGGAAAGATTCCGTCCTCGACGGCTCCACCTAACAAAAAAAAAAAAAGTAAAAATAAAAAATAAATATATGAGAAATGTTTTTTTTTTATAATATAATTAATTTTTCAATTCGAATCGAAGGCAGGTAGTTTGTATCTTGGTAATTGGTATAAGTATAAGGATTTTTATAATCACCGTCGCGTTCGTGCTGTTCAAAAAATAAAAAAAAATAAAAAAATAAAAAACCGGAACACTGTCCATCATTCCCTATATATATATATAGAGAAACAGAGGAGAAAGGGCAAGCATAACAATTAACGTTGTAAACATTGATTGATTTGGGTGGGATTGATGGGTTTACCGGCTAATGGCGGCGAGAAGCAGCTGAAGTTTCTGATCTACGGTCGGACCGGGTGGATTGGCGGTCTGCTGGGGAAACTGTGCGAAGGCCAAGGCATCCAATATGTTTACGGCAAGGGCCGCTTGGAGAACCGATCCTCATTGGAAGCCGACATTGCGGAGGTGAAGCCGAGCCACGTGTTCAACGCTGCTGGGGTGACAGGTAGACCCAACGTGGACTGGTGCGAATCTCACAAGGTTGACACCATCCGAACCAACGTTGTTGGTACTCTGACCTTGGCTGACGTGTGCCGCCAGAAGGGCCTTGTCCTCATCAACTACGCCACCGGCTGTATCTTCGAGTATGATTCTTCCCACACCGTCGGATCCGGCATTGGATTCAAGGAACAAGATACCCCCAATTTCATTGGATCTTTCTACTCCAAGACCAAGGCCATGGTCTCTCTCTCTCTCTCTCTCTCTCTCTAATTACATTACAATACATTTAGTTAGATCCTTATTTTGTTTGTTTATTTATTATATGATGTTGACAGGTAGAAGATCTGCTCCAGAACTACGAGAATGTGTGTACCTTGCGAGTTAGGATGCCAATCTCATCTGATTTGTCAAACCCGCGTAATTTCATCACCAAGATCACTCGATATGAGAAGGTTGTCAACATTCCGAACTCAATGACTATATTGGATGAACTCCTTCCACTTTCCATCGAGATGGCAAAGAGAAATCTCACTGGGATCTGGAATTTCACTAACCCTGGAGTCGTCAGCCACAATGAGATTTTACACATGTATAGGGAATATGTGGATCCCAACTTTACCTGGAAGAATTTCACTCTTGAGGAGCAGGCTAAGGTTATTGTTGCTCCCAGAAGCAACAATGAGCTTGATGCATCCAAATTAAACAAAGAATTTCCTCAACTATTGTCTATCAAGGACTCCCTCATTAAGTATGTGTTCGAGCCTAATCACAAGGTTTTAGCTTGAACGATGTAATGCAAGTTACCATTTTTTTTTACATCTACTATTGAATTCAGTTTGTGTGGAGGCTTTGTGCTTTGGCTACAGTTGTCCTTCTCCATTCATGTGTATTGGCTCTATGTCTTGTTGGAATGTCATAAATACATGGTGAATGAATAATAAATCTTGCATCTCTGTTTCTCTTGTATTGAGTTAGAGCCATGTGATCATTTTTTTTTTTATAATGATAGTTAATGATCCAACAACTAGTGCTTCTTGGTTTGTTCAAACGTATGGATGATGGAAAGCAAAGCAACACGTCTTGCTTGTGCAGAAATTACGCACTAGAGTCATTAGAACCTAAATGTATGTAGGAAGAGATACACTGCATCTCATTTTAGGCTCAGTTTAAATCGAAAATTGGGACTAGAGTAAATACATCCTGTCAGGACAGTATTAATTGATTATTAATTGATTATGAGAGGACGCTCCAGCCCATAACGTTTAGTCTAGCCTAAGATCTCAATATATCCACATCATCCCCGCCAAACAAAAAACCCCCGTCGAATTGGAAGCATATATATCATATAACAAAAAGTTTCTTCCATACCTGAAATCTCATTGTTGAACACAGATAAATTACATTAATAATTCATTTTTTAAGCCAAAAACTTGTGTTCTAAAAAAGTGTTATGAATCTGTTAACTAATTTAAAAAAAACATTAATCAATATATATATATATATATATATATATATATATATATATATATAATACTTACGACATATTTTTTCTTAAAACTTTTTACAATTATTTTTATTACTATTGGATCAAAATCAAATCAACGATTACAAAATAATATTAAGTCAGAGCCATTGATTTAATTTTAATCTAACGATAATAAAATTGATTGTAAAAGGTTATATGCTGAAAATATATCATTTTGGATAATCTTTAGAAATAGAATTTATAATATAATTTTTTAAAGCTTCTTTTCGAAGACTAATTTATATTAATTAAAATGCAATAAAAATATAAATTTTGGACTTCAAATTAACCACATCTTAAAAGGGTAAAATAAAATATTTGAACCGACAACACTTGCCACAGCAGAAACCATTTGCCTTCTCCTACAGAACTAATGCAAACAAGAATACCCTTCTTCATTCTAAGCGACGTAGATTTCCATTTATTGCACGTTGTATATGCTAAACATCAGTGACCATTGGCAATCAAACCATTGTCTGTGGGAGTCAAACTGCTTTCTCTAGTTTTCTTTGCATAGAATCTCCGATACATAGAGTCAACTTCAGTGAGATAGAATGTGCCCGGAGATAAAAGGCTACTGTCCTTGCTTGTCACAAACTCCTTGGCACCATACCTATGTTCCATTAGCTTCAGGGTTTCAATAAACTTCTCCGGAGGAAACTGCATAAAAAAAATTCTACTCATCAAAAGTCTATTCAATTTTATAGCGCAACATATGATTCTGTTTCCGGCATCTGATTACACATTACAACAATAGTCAGAACGAAGGACTGATCCACTTCAACCATTTACTCTCAACCATTTATTCTCACGTTGACTTTTAAAGTTTTAATCCACAAACCAAGTTCTAGGACACAACTAAAAGGAAATAGAAAAAAGAATTTTTTTCAAAATCCAATATGTATCTCTGTCCACTTGGAAACTTATCAGTCGTCAGTCAAATATTTGTCAAAAGAGATGCATTCTTATGTTTTTGGTTCCGTTATTTTCAATTTAATATTCAACCTGAAGAGCACATGTGGATTACTTCCATATTTGACTAGACGTTTATAGATCAATACCTCATGCCTTGACTTCAATTTTCCAGTAACATCCATCACTCGAGCAATGTTTGACAAGCTAAATGGATGTTGACCATCACGTAATTGCAAAGAAAACATTGTGGCAGTTAAGCCACTTCCGTATGAGAATAATATCACCCTCTTACCTGCCTGAAAATTGTAAATTGTAAATATTTATTAGACAGGACGAAACGTGTTGTGAGGAAGTTTATATTTGTCAGAGTGGTCAGAAACATTTACCAAAGTGCTATGTTTGTTGTGAATAAGGGATGCAAAAGCAGCATAGAGAGACGCAGTGTATATATTGCCAATTTGCTTTGGTATCACAGTAGTTGGTTGTACCTTCTCATCATATAGAGCCTTTGCAACTTGCTGGGATGCCTACAAATCAATTATATTGCACATTGTCAGCAAAAAATTTCATCGCAGTTTATTTTGCTATCCAAATTCCAACCCCAAGGTAAAAGGAAAAGTAGTCAATATCTAAACAAAATGGTTATTGTTTTTAAGAAATAGGCTCAGACCTTTTCAAGATCCCGGCTTTGGTAGCTCTCATCACCAGATAAAGTTGTAAAAGGTCCCAACTTTTCTTTGGTAATCTCATCCACAGAGCTGCAATTATAATCAATTTTAAAAAACCCATGCATTAACTGAATAAAAATTAAACAAGTTTTCCAGAGGATGGAGAAATGATGAGGACCTGGGATTCCTCAAGAAGTCATTGAACAGCAAACGTGCAAAACTTTTCTGTACAAGCTGCAGAAGCTGGAAGTATTAAAAGAAATATACGAACAGACACACAGATACTAAAGAAATATAAATATACATATCAATTAATGTAGATACATCGACGACAGTAATATACAACGTGTTACAGGGGTATTTATGAAGTGTCATAAGGAGTTAGGATATGAAATAATAAATCTTAAAAAGTCTAAACTACCTTGTTATAAGGAGAGTGAAATACAAAGGACTCAGCATCAGAAAGAGAAAATTGTTTTCCCTCGAGTTTCTCATATCTGCAAAAGTAAATATGGTTCACTACTTGGCCAGTATTTAATACAAATATTTTTCATCGACCAAGCAAAATGCCGCGTAAACCCATATTTTTGTTGAGTTATTTGAGCTGACTCGTTCAACCAGTTGATCTGTGACTCTGACCACTTCGAATGGGTCCAGATTTTACTGGTCTGGTTTTCTTAACCCTAGTTATTATTTATAAAACATCTTCCTAGTAACTAAAATTAACCTTAGGAACTTACTTGTGACTGAAGTTTTTATAGCAAGAATCAAGAGCCATGAGGTAACAAGTTTGTGAAAGTTTCCCATCAACAACCTACAACACAAAAAGTATGTGGATTTATTGCAGTTGGAATCCTGAAATGATATCAGTGGCTTATGATTAAAAAGTAAAGAATAGACATGAACAGTCAAACGCTATCCTTCAAGCATATTCAGATCAAAATAAAGTTGCACAGTTGCTTTGATCATCACATGGGAAAAACAATTGGAAGTTATTTTTCAAACTAAATGATCCCAAAAGTCAAATGTTCTGACAGAAATGAAAAGGGATTGAAAAGCTTACCGGATATTCACTAGCAAGATTAGGCTTGTAAAAATCATAAACATGAGACATATGACTTGCCCTCAATTTGCTTTCAAAAGAAATGGGAGCATCAGGACCAATTAGCATGGCAATAGCAGCAGCTCCTCCAGTAGGCCGAGCAGGTCCTTCAGCATACACCTGAAAGGAAACATCCATTACACATGCTTGAGATTAACCCCCAACATTATGACAGAATCTAGGACATATAAGTTTGAGTTCAGAACTAGCTGTGATCTTCGAATTGCATATAAGAGAGTGGAAAGCATGTTCATTATTACTGAATATAGTCCAAAGGCAACATGAATGATTAAGATATGATCTTACTGCACTGTCAGTGCAGACAACAAGTCCATAGCGTCCATCCCAAGAATTGCTCTCCACCCAATTGACACAATTGAACAAAGCAGCAGTTCCTCCATAGCATGCATTAGTTGAATCAACACCCTCAATGTCAGTGTTTCCATATTTCTGTTTATTTCAGACAAATAAACGAAAATTGTATTAGAAAGCTATGGAAATATATTATTTGGTCAAGAAAATCATAAAATAATAGAACCAACCCAACCTGATTATTAACATTACGGACATCCTATAATATATAAGACAATGAAACATTACTTAATGACTATACATGAAGACGGTCACCTGTCAGTAGGGATCTAAATGGGCCGGGTTGGACTGGGCTTTGGCTTAAATAAGCCAGGCCTGTATAAAATATTTTCGGCCTAGCCTGATTAATTAGCCTTTTATAGACACATTTTATAAGTCTGATCTGACCTATATTTTAAAAACAAAAGTCTTGGCCTAAGGCTATTAACCTGTTTAAGCCTATTAGACATTCAATAATTAAATAATATTACTTTATTATTCAAATTTATTAAAATAATAATTTTATTTATTTTAAATAAAATAAATAATATGCTATAGGCCCGGTATATTTGCCTATATATATATATATGCCTGACCCATTTACACTGGTTATAGACTCAGGATGAAAAGAGCACAGCTAGCTGGAAGCCCCTTTAGCTGTGTGCTCTGTTTGATATACCCAACATTGACTGCTCAAGAGCTTCCAATCCAAGATTAAATAATTTTATTGAAAAGAAGTTTCTGTATATATTTGTTTTGAATAATTTACATGAGTGAGTATTTATACAAGAAAGAATCGCTAAGAATGACTAAGCGATGACTAATCAATCCTAATCACAATCAATTCTAATCAATCACAATCAATCCTAATCAATCATAATCAATCCTAATTAATAGGAAATAAAAACGGAAACATATTTGGATTCTGATTTTCTACACTCCCCCTCAAGTTGGGAGGTAAATATTGATCATTCCCAACTTGCCAATCAAGTCTTCGAATGCTGGACGGTGTAGGCCCTTGGTAAGGATATCTGCCGTTTGCTCTTTGGTTGGAACATATATCAAATGCACACTTCCATCATCTAATTTTTCTTTGATGAAGTGACGATCAACTTCCACGTGCTTTGTTCGATCATGATGCACAGGATTTTGAGCAATGCTAACAGCTGCCTTGTTGTCACAATATAGTTTTATTGGTAGGGAATATGAAATCTTCAACTCTTGAAGAAGTCTTCTCAACCAGATTCCTTCACAAACTCCATGAGATAAAGCTCGAAATTCTGCTTCAGCACTACTTCTTGCAACCACTGTTTGCTTTTTTGCTTCTCCAAGTAACAAGATTTCCCCACACATAGGTGCAATAGCCTGAGGTAGATCTCCTGTCTACTGATGAGCCTGCCCAATCTGCATCAGTGTAGATTTCAATTGTCCTTTTATACCCCTTTTTAAAGAATAATCCTCTTCCTGGAGTATTCTTGAGGTATCTAAGCACCCTATAGACTGAACTAAGATGCTTCTCCTTGGGTGAGTGCATGAATTGACTAATCATACTCACCGCAAAGGCAATGTCAGGACGCGTATGAGATAAGTAGATTAGTTTACCAACCAATCGCTGATATTGTTCTTTATCCACCTCATTCCCATCTTCAATACCTAACTTGGTATTAGGTTCCACATGTGTCTCAGCAGGTTTACACCCTAACATTCCTGTTTCCAACAAAAGATCTAGAACATATTTTTTTTGTGTTAGAGTGATGCCTGTTTTGCTTCTAGCAACTTCCATACCAAGGAAATATTTGAGAGTGCCAAGGTCTTTGAGTTCGAATTGAGCTGCTAGAAATTTCTTCAAGGTGTTCAATTCCTCAATATCATCACCTGTAAGAATTATATCATCTACGTATACAATAAGAATAGCAATTTTACCATCCTTAGAGTGTTTGTGGAAGAGAGTATGATCAGTCTGTGCTTGAATGAAGCCTCTTCTTTTGACTGCTTGTGTGAATTTGTCGAACCATTCTCTGGGAGACTGTTTCAATCCATATAGAGACTTTTTTAGTTTACACACTGATCCATTTCCCTTTTCAAAACCAGGTGGAGGATCCATATAGACTTCTTCATGTAAGTCACCATTTAGGAATGCATTCTTCACATCTAACTGTTGCAGAGGCCAATTTAGATTGGCAGCAAGAGATAAGAGAACTCGGATGGTATTGACTTTAGCAACCGGAGCAAAAGTCTCATGATAATCTATCCCATGAGTCTGAGTGAAACCCTTTGCAACCAATCTTGCCTTGTATCTGTTGATGCTATTATCTGCATTGAATTTTATTGTAAACACCCATTTGCATCCTACTACCTGTTTTCCTTTGGGTAGGGTCACTATCTCCCAAGTTCCATTTCTTTTTAAAGCATTCATTTCTTCAAAGACAGCATCCCTCCATTTTTGATCATTGAGAGCCTCATGTATATTTCTCGGTATCTTTGTACTATCCAACATAGTATTGAAAGCACGAAACCCTGGGGACAACTTTCCATATGAAATATGATTAGAAATAGGATGAGTAGTACAAGATCGAGTACCTTTTCTGAGAGCAATGGGCAAGTGTAGATCATTTTCACCATGACACTCAAGTATTAGGGTGCTGGAACTAGAACATGGTTCAGAATCCTGGCAGTGTAGAGGCTCTGGGTTATTCACACTTTGAGGAGGCTTTCGCCTGCTATAAACTTGTCCCCATTTTGAGGAGGCTCCTGATGGTGAGGATTCTGTAGCTCCCCCTGTTTCCAAAATTAGAGGTAATACCGTGGCATCAGTAGGTTCCCATGACTGATCTTCATCTACTCCTATCTCCCCCTGAAGAGAAGTCGAGGGGAAGAAAGGGTCATTTTCAGAAAAAGTGACATCCATAGAGACAAAGACCTTACGAAGAGAGGGTGAATAACATTTATAGCCACGTTGAGTAGGAGAATAACCAATAAAGACACACTGGAGAGACTTAGGATCAAGCTTAGACCGTTGATGGGAGGGAATATGGACAAATGCAACGCAACCAAATAACTTGAGAGGTAAGGAAGAGACACCTCGGAAGGAAGGGAAGATACGAACAAGACTAGAAAGAGGAGACTGAAATTTCAGAATGCGAGATGGCATTCGATTTATCAGATACGAGGCAGTGAGAACTGCCTCTCCCCAAAGATATTTAGGAACACTCGTGGTAAACATAAGAGCCCGAGCAACTTCAAGGAGATGTCGGTTTTTTCTTTCCGCAACTCCGTTTTGTTGGGGTGTGTCAGGACACGAGCTTTGGTGAAGGATGCCATGTTGGGAAAGATATTCTCCAAGAATAGAGTTAAAATACTCTTTGCCATTATCTGTACGAAGAATTTGTATAGCAACTTGGAATTGGGTTTGAACCATGGCATGAAATTTTTTAAACACGGATGCAGCATCGAACTTATCCTTTAGAAGATACACCCAACAGACTCGAGAATGGTCATCAATGAAGGTAATGAACCATCGAGTACCTGAAATATTTTTAACACGGGCTGGACCCCATATGTCACTATGAATTAAGGAAAATGGGAAAGAGTCATGGTGAACTTTAGAAGGATAATGAGCACGAGTATGCTTGGCAAGTTGACAAATATCACAAGAAAACAAACTTGGACTTTTATGAATAAATAAGTTTGGCAACAACTTCTGAAGATAAATAAAATTTGGATGGCCTAGCCTACGATGCCACATCATAACATCATTACATGAATCAAAAGGAAACATAGAATTTTTTTCTACGAAAACAGCTTCATGAGTCACATCCTCCTCAAAGTAGTAAAGTCCACCATCCTCTCTAGCACTGCCAATCATCCTCTCCGAGTCCTGTTCCTGAAAAACACAACCATGTGGAAAGAATTTAGCAAAGCAATGCAACTCAGAGGTGAGCTTGCTAATAGAAATGAGATTACAAGTCAGAGAAGGAACATAAAGAACTGATGTCAAAGTAATCAGCTCAGAAAGTTTAATGGTTCCGTGTCCCGCAATCTGGGAAAAACTGCCATCGGCGATCTTGACCCGAGAAGGTTCAGAATATGGAGTGTATGAACAAAACAAGCCAAGATTACCTGTCATATGATCAGAGGCTCCAGAATCAAGGATCCAATGATTTTGACTATCAACATGGAAAGTTGTACCTTGCTGGACCACATGACTAGTGGCCTTAGGAGGTTGAGTCAAAAGTCTCTGAAGTTGTTCAAACTTAGTCTTGCTAAGAAAGACACCATTAGAGTAAGAGGAAGAGTGTTTTGAGGAAGCCATGAATAGAAAGAGAAGGGTTGACCGTTGATGAAAAATCAAGTTTTGTAAATTTTTGATCTGACCTCTGGAACAGGAAGGGGAGAAGCCGGCGAGAAGGTCTGTGCAAGTCGCGGCGGAAAAAGACGTTGGGAAGGCGGCGCGTGGAGCTCACGCGCCGGAAACTGGCCGCGCGTGTGACGGCGCGTGCGGCGGTTGACGGCGATGGGTCCAGCGGCGGTCGACTCGTCGGATCCTTCTGAGTCGAATGGTCACCTCACTTTCTTGATCGGAGATCAGTAGACTAGGTTTCTGTGTTGGACAGATTCAAGGAGGTGTTTAGGAGGTGTTTGACGGTGATGGAAGTGTTTGGATGGTTATTTCAGATTTGAATTAGGGTAGGAACGAACCCGCTCTTGATACCATATTGAAAAGAAGTTTCTGTATATATTTATTTTGAATAATTTACATGAGTGAGTATTTATACAAGAAAGAATCGCTAAGAATGACTAAGCGATGATTAATCAATCCTAATCACAATCAATTCTAATCAATCACAATCAATCCTAATCAATCCTAATTAATAGGAAATAAAAACGGAAACATGTTTGGATTCTGATTTTCTACAAATTTAAAGTAAGGTTGAATAACTAAGTAAACAGGTATTTAAACTACAATGAGATGTGTTTAAATTGGAATTTAAACTACAAGCAGATGAAGAAAGCCACTTCACTTCGACAAGTAGAATCATATATCCAATATCCATGTGGTTAGACACAGAAAGGATACCTCAAAGATCTGCATCAGGAATGTCTTGATGGATTTGCTTTTGTCTATCACAGTCTCGCTGCCTACTTCCAGACGACCAATTTGTTTAGGATCAATCCCATACTTCTCAAGAAGTGAAGTAACCACAGTCAAACTGAAGATGCAATAATTAGTCTTCAAGAGATGAGACTAGAAAAGATGATTAGTTATAAGATTGAAGATAAATCTTCAGCATCGAAGTCCAATTGAACATTAAACACACAGAAAGCACAACCTGAGTGTAATATATATTAAGATGGCTTCAAACAGTATGTCTAGTGTCACAAAAGACAGGTAAAGCAAAAAAAACTACATTAAGACTAAAAGATCCCAAGAGATTAAAAGATTTATTTTAATTTAAAAATGAAAATATTTCTTGTGCATAATGCAAAAGACTAATCACCTTCACATGGTTTTAAATGGTTCACGATGACATCAAGATAAGTCAGGTTATTTCATGATACAACTCTCCATGACATCCAAACTTGCAAAGGCATGGATGAGAAAATCCTTTACACAACCTTATCCTTGCATTTTTTAGCAAAATGACTATTTTTTGAATTGGAATGTGTGACCTTTTAGTCACAAAGGAACAACTTTACCATACAACTTTACCATTACTCTAGGCTCACCCCCATAGAATATTATTCCATGCATCCTAGAAAACTTTGGCTGAGCTGAATCATTATCATGGGTGGTATTCCCAGATCCCTAATTTACATGTTCCTTATGTAAAGCTTGTAAGTTGTAAAACTTACCTTAGCATTTACAAATTCTTATGAGTTATGATATTCTAATCAATAAATGACAAGGAGTCAAGGATAACTCAGAAGAAGGGCTACTAACTGCAATACAACTCCAGACAGAATGGCGTATCATAGTACAACCAAATTACAGAAGCAGAGACTATCAAAACCAAAGTAGAAACCTCATTGAGATGACATCTTCTAACTCGGTACAGAAAGACATGCAATCTTGTCCAAGTCCAATGGTATATTTCCCTTTACTGGCACCATCATGAGCCTCCAATGCTTCCTGTATGTAAGCATATGTCAAGAAAATGAAAAAAAGAAAAAAGAAAAGAAAAAGGCATAGCTTAGAAGAAAAGAACCATGGGATAATCCACAAGATATGTTACGTGCTTTATTGGTTTTTCGGCCTATGATTTAACCTTCTGTTTTTTCCCCTTAGAAAACAGGGCATGTTAGACTCACACCAAGATATGGAACATTTGTTCTCGTCCAGTGTTAATTTCGAGGAGCATTTTTCGTACTTATTGTTATGGGATAGTTCCTTTCACTTGAGAACTTATCCTACAAAAGGTGAAAATGAAAAACAAATCCAGCATCACTTTCCACAAAAATTGATCGCATGGTTACGAAAATCGATTGAATACATCTAAGAAAACCGTTATTCAGCAATCTCGATTTGATCCAGTTCCAGCTACAGTACCCCAGTCCTAAAATCTATGCCAAACTACACGCTTATTATGTAGTTAGCTTAAGCATCTTGGAACAATTTTATTGTTCTCGAATCTTCAACTATGCAACACTAACGCATAACCGAAAACGAAATACCCATGAGTCCTTTCAGGTAGTAAACTCAGATTATGTGATGATTATTCTCCTTTGTAAAACTCAACCAACACTGATTAGCGATGAAGAAACTTGATTATCGTCACTGCTTTTCCATTCCTCGGATAATGAAAACGTTAAACAGAAAACTCAAATGAGCAAACAAGCGAGAAAAAAAAAAAAAAAGGGAAAAAAAGAGAGTGAGAATGATAGTGATGTAGTCACCTGTTGAACGCATGTGGGAGGGAAGTAGATGTCAATAGCGAGAATCCCCACATTCTTTGCCATTTCTGTTAAGCGGTTCCAAACGATCCTAATCAAAACAACGAAAACAAGGCCTCTCTTGTAAAAAGAAAAGAGAAGAGAGGGTCACGTGGAAGTCTTGCGAACTTGGTATGTTTATGTGTATATATATATAAACAAGGAAGAACCTACCAACACCAAAGGCTCTCTGGTATGGTATGGTGTGTCAACCAGGTGCTTCAGCTGTAAATGCAGACATCGTGAGCGCGACAAAATACAAAGTACACCCTTTTCTCTCTTTAACCTTTGCTTTCCCTTTATTTACCACGACTTGCCATTTTTGTATGACAATACTCCAAGTAACATTCGTATCTTTTGCTTTTGGAACAGACTACGATACTAATTTGGAGTCCACACTAAGTTAGAAATAGAGATATCTAAACTCCTTTCAAAAATAAAATACAAAAATCAAAGTTATCCCTTATAATTTGTATTCAGTAGGACAAACATGTGTTAAGAAGTACTTGTAACCTGCTCTGAAAATGAGCTAAAGGTGGAAGTGATTATTGTAAGGATATTTGTTATACGCAGTGTCTTGTTAATTTAAGGAATGAAAATCAATCGATGTCAAACAACAGAAAAGAGGGAATCTCAAGTTCTCAACGAATTAATATGCTGCTACATTCATTGTTGAAGGGCAAGGGCCATATAGTCCATGCACATGCTACGATAATTTCCTTGTAATAATTTCCTTGTAAAGTTGTAATAACAATAATTAAACCATGTGCCGTTACAGTGCGCGCGGGCCATGCATCATTCTCGTTCTCGTGGTCCATGCTTCCCAATTATTTATTTTTATTTTTTTGATACACAACCCCCAATTATTTATTTATTTAGAGTAAACACCCTTTTTAGTCCCTGACAATATCTACAAAGTCCTTTTCAGTCCCTGGCAATAAAAAAAGATCAAATTGGTCCCTGAAAGTACAAGAAAAAGGTCACTCTACATATTTGGGAGTTGACATAAGGACTAACATAGCCTTTTTTTGTAATTTCAGGGACCAATTTAGTTCTTTTTTATTGCCAGGGACTAAAAAGGACTTCGTAGATATTGACAGGGACTAAAAAAGGTGTTTACTCATTTATTTATTTATGGCTTATACAATCCTTAGTCATTTGCCAAACTCTTTTTCCTTTTAAAAACAAAATAGAAGTCATAAGAGATGGTTGGTAAAACGCAAAGAAGCGCACGCCATTAAAATCGACGTATCTTTGGCATTTGCATTTCATTTTGGTATAATTTGATTGATAAGATTCAAGTCTTGGATGAATGTTTTCGCAAGGGAGCGGGGGAAAGATTTCGTGGCTTCTTGCCTTCAAAATCAAAATGACTGGCATTAAATTAGGCAAACTGCACTTGGTTGGCTTTAAGAATCACTTCAAGTCAAAATTTTAAGATGTTGGGTAAGGACTTTTCTAATAATTTATATTATTTTTTAACATCTCCTCACGTAAAAGTTCTATAGACTTAAAACGTAAATATTATGTAAGTCCAATTTTTTTTTTTTATCTTATGCTTATTTAATTTCACAATTCGGTGAGGATTGAATTTGTGATTTTGTTATCACACAAGATACCATGTAAATAACCAATCCAATTCAAAACCTTCCAAACCAATAAATATTTGTTTGAAAAAATATGTTAGAAAAATATATAAATCATTTTTCAACCTTCACTTCATAACTTAATTTTTAAATTGAATTAATTCATTAGCGTGAATTGCATCATTGCTATTTAATTGGCAGTAAGTTGCCGAATGTAAGTTACGACATTGACTTAGGGCGAGCTAATTTAGGGTGATCTACTTGAATTTAAGCGTAAGTAACGGAGGATTCTATTCATGTGTGACTTGACTTTTCAAACATCACCCACGAATGTCCTTGACTTGGTTTGCAGCTTTGTCGTCTCTTAGATAATAACTTTGTAGGTATCCACACACACACACACACAAAAAAAAATTGTAGGCAAATATTTGATCCGGAAATATGTAAAAATGGAAATCGCTAAGTCAGACATCCAAATTGCTAAGAGGATACTGCTAGACACACTTAACATTTATATAATTTTTTATTTGTAGCTGGTGAGTGGAATTTCAAATCCTTTAGGTTTTGTTTGGGAGTTTGGAGGAGAAGGAAACGAAGGCGATTCAAGAGGGAGGGAGGAGAAGAAAAGGAAGAAAATTGAAGGGTATTTTCTTCCCTTATTTCGGAGTTAAAAAAAAGATAAGGGAAAAAAATTGGAGGGTTAATAAGATATTTTTACTATTTTACCCTTTTAAAAATTAATATAATTATTATATTTTACAAATTAAATTAAATTTAAAATTTTTAACAATATTCTTTATGTAGTTTTCTCAGTACTAAAAAAGATCATATTTTCGATGAAATTTCTACGTTGCAAACGACGAAAATTTCATCACAAAATTAATTTTTCGTCAAAAGCGAAGGAATTTTTTCTCTTATGAAATTTTTAACAAAAAACAAATTTTCTATCGAAAATTTTGACGCAATTTGGTTTCCATCAAAAGATTTGACGAAAATGATTTCTTCCATCAAATGTTTAAAATGAAAAAAAAATTCCCGTGAAAAATTTTGACGGAATGTTTTCCGTTCAAAATTTCGATGGAAATTTATTCTCACGAAAATTTCAACGAAATTTTTTTTGTTAAAATTTTTGAGGAAAATGTTTCATTCGAAACTTTCGACGAGATTTAGATTCTGTAAAGAATTTAGAAAAATGTTATAAAAAAAAAAAAAAAAGAATTTAGAAAAAAATATTTTTTCATCAAAATTTTTGACTCGTCAAATTTTTTTATGGAAATATTTTCTGTCGAAAATTTTTGACAGAGTTGTGTTCCGTTGAAAATTTTGATGAAAATGTTGTTTTATCAAAAAACTTGACTGAAGAAATTTATGAAAATATTTTTCGTCAAAATTTTTGGTGAATATGTTTTTTTGTGAAATATTTTGAGGGTAATGTTTTGATGAAATTTAGATTTCGTAAAGAAATTTGACAAAAAAAAATTTCTGTCAAAAAATTTTGGAGAAATGTTTTTAGTCTCAAATTTTGTTGGAAATATTTTTCGTTGAAAATTTTTTATGGAAATGTTTTCTGTAAAAAAATTTGATGTAATTGTTTTATGTCAAAACTTTTCGATGGAAATGTTTTTCGGCAAAATTTTGGACGAAAATATTTTTGTTGAACGTGTCGAAGGAATTTAGATTCTATCAATAATTTTGACTGGATTTTTTTTCATAAAAAATTCATGTCAGTGATTATGGCAAAATCTAGTTCCGTCTGTAATTTCGTCTTTAGTTTTGACGGAAATTTTTTGACGTATATGATTTTCATCAAAAATTTCATCACTTTTTTTGGCGAAATCTTTTTCGTAGATAAATTATGTCGGTATTTGAGACTTTTCTAATAATGTCACATTTAACAATGATTCACATTTATGTAGTTTTCACATTTTAATGCTAAGGGTAGATAAGTAATTTTTAACATTTTTACCCCTAAACCCTCCAAATTGGAGAAACTTTAATTTTAAGAAGAAGGAGAGTTTTGGAGGGTTTAGTAAAAATCTTCAATTTCCTTCCCTCATTTTTTTTAAACTCACAAATAAGGGAAGAACTTACTAAAATCCTCTCTTTCCTTTCCTTCCCCTCTTAAAACCAACTCCCAAACAAAGCCTTAGGGAATGGCAGCCGGATAGGGCTATTGATGCTATTCGCAATACTCTTTCGCAGCTCCTGATGCTAACCGTGACAAGAGACTGTGGTCCATTCCAGGGGCTAAGAAAGTCTCAGTTAGTTCATTACATTACTGCTTCTCTAATCATGAGCGGGCCGAAGAAGAGGACATGTTAATGTGGCATCGATTGTGGGCATGGAAGGGCCTCAAAAACCAAAAAATTTCCTGTGGAAGATCATGCATAAAAGGAGCACATCTTTGGTGCTACCGCTGCAGATACTACTGCCATTAAGAATTAAACATGTGTGTTTAAACAATGTTTTTGTCTTTTTCATTTTACTGTGTGTGCTTAGGTGTTTAATTTTTATTGGATAGATGTATACAAAATTGGGTGCAGCGATAGTATATTAAAAATTTTCGCATAAAAGAATGTTGACAAATCTGCTGATATCCAAATGGGGAAACTCTGATCCTAGTTGCCCTTGTTGTAGACTTGATGTTGAATCGATTATCCATGCATTAAGAGACTGTGGGGAGGCCAAACAGTTGTGGGTGAAACTTAAACCTGATCTATTTGGGTCAAAAAAATTCACAGATGAAGCATCCTATTGGATAAAATCAAATTTGGGGAATGACGTTATGCAGCCATTGCCGATGCCTTGGCAAACAATTTTCATTTAATTTGCTGGAAACTTTGGCATTGGAGGAATGCTGTGCAACATGAGGGTTTGACTCCTCCTCTGGAAGTCAAATATCAAGTCTTAAAGGATTTGAGTTTGTATGTCGAAAGGACAAAAGAGGGTGTGGTGACTACGAGATTGGGAACAAGTAATATACACACTATTATTTGTTGGAAATTCCCTGAGACTGGGTTCATTAAAATTAATTCTGATGGAGCAGCGCGTGGCAATCTTGGTTCGACTGTTGGAGTTCTTCGTGATTCAATAGGCAAATGGTTACATGTTTTGCTGTTGGGCTAGGTGTATGTTCCTTTTACAAAGCTTAGCTTTGGGGTATACTTCGAGGCTTAGAGATGGCGCGGAACGAAGGATATCAAAATGTTATTCTAGAAAGTGATTCATCCAGTGCAATCACTATGCTCACTTCAGGAAGTGCAGCAGTCTGTGAGATTCATCTTGTATCTCGCATACGGACATGTCTTAAAAAGGATTGGATTGTGCGGCTTCATCGTACATATAAAGAAGGGAACATGTGTTCAGATTGGCTGACTAACTTTATTTTGGATGAGGGAGATCTAGCTGATCAAGTGGCTTTTCAGGAACCTCTAGGTGGAATTCATTTCCTGTATTTGGCTGACATCGTTACTGTTGGAAGGGATCGTGCTGTTAGTTATTTTTAACAGGATAGCTACGATGTTTTTGTTTTTTTGTGTGTTTGTTTTGTTTGTGTTTGTCTTATGCTTGGTAGTCTACCAAAAAAAAAAAAATAATAATAACTATGTTGATTTAGGAGAGTTAATTTTGTTATAGGCCCAATATTCGGTTCAGGTCTAACCTATTATACAGATCATGGCATTTAAAAAAAATTGGATCCATCTTCACCCTTCAAAGACCCAAACCCAATAGGGAAAGATTTTCTCCAGAAGTCAAATATTAAGATAATCTCTCTTATAAATACTTATGTGCATTCTCGATGTACACATTTCTAAATTCCTATCTCTTCATACATATTGTGTAGACACTCGTTTCTGGATCCAAGCCATTGAATCCTTGCACCAAAGATTTGTTGTATATGATCATCTCCTCCACAATTGATCACTCATCTGCAGCTCTTACATCAACCATGATCCCTTTCGATCGAAGATTGGCGTTGTATGTGAAAAACGATAAACTACAATTCTCACCTTGGTTATGGTGGCAACTCGCATCAAATCATAGTCCGGACAAACCAACCTATATGTCATGTCTTACATAAGTCGGACCTAGAGGGAAGATTAATAATATAGGATATTGAGCTACAAGAGTATGAAATCTCCTATGAAGCTCATTATGCAATAAAATCGCAAGTCCTAGCAGACTTTGTGGTCGAGTTCACTCCCACCAGAAGACAGGAGGAAAAAAGAAAGTTAAATCATATTTTTTCACACATCTTCTAACTCAAGGGAAATAACGTCAATATCATAGAGAACCTAGAAGGCATCACGATATAACACTCATTCTACCTTGGATTTTCAACCTCAAACAATCAAGTCGAATGTGAAGCTTTCATATATAGTCGGGTTGCCGCAAGCTAAGGAATATAGCGCCACCAAGTAATGACACACAGTTAGTCACACCTCAGGTGAAGGGAGGCTACCAAGCAAAAGCCCCCACAATGGCAAAGTACTTAGCTAGGGTGAAAGAGCTACTAGCCGAGTTCGAAAAAATAGAAGTCCAATACATCCCAAAGATGAAGGATAACAGAGCAAATATATCCTCTAATCTTTCCAACACTAAGAACCCATGTAACCATCGATCCATATTACAACATGTAGAAGGAAGTTGGATGGATCTGATCCTAATGCACATCGAAAAAGGGAACCTACTCGATGATTTTACAATTATGGAAAAGTAGCTCTATCGAAAATGACTTTACACTCCTTCATTAGACTGCCTAAACCCGGATGGAGTTGAATATGTCACAGTTGAAATACACAAGGGGATAAATAACCACCACATGAGCGGCAAATTGCTAGCTTAAAAAGTGTTTCGAGAGGGGTGCTACTAGCCAATTATGGAGTCAGATTCTCTATAGCAAGTCCAAAGGTGCAACAAGTGCCAGAGGCACATTGATATTCATCGTTCCCATCCGGAGGAATTATCTACCATTATAGCCTCCTACATGTTCTACAAGTGTGCAACGAATATCCTGGGTCCATTCTATTCCGTTGAAGGAAAATTGAAATGACTGATTGTGGCAATAGATTATTTTACCAAGTGGATTGAGGTAGAACCACTAACAACCATAACCTCAACTCAAGTACAAATATTCATGTACTACCAAGTAATTTGCCGATTTGGTCCATAGACAACGAAACCTAGTTCTCCAACCATAGGTTTTAGGAGGTGATGAATGACCTTCAAATCAAAATTACTTCACCTCAGTATAGCACCCACAAATAAATGGGCAAGCAGAAGCCGCAAACAAGGTCATCATGAACGACCTAAGGAAGTACCTGGAAGAAGCAAAAGGGAAACAAGCTCCGTCACTTGAGCAATATTTTATGGGGTATATAAAACCACACCTCACTTCAATACGAGGGCGGCACCCTTCAAAGCTCACTTATGGGTGCGATGTCATGATTCAAGTCGAGATATGTGAACCATTTACGTGTCTTGAAAGAGAACAATGACAAACCAATTAAAGCGCTGATTGATTTCTGTTCTCCATAACAGTTTTTAAATTTTAAAAATAATAAAACAAAAAATCTTGTTTGGAAAGAGTGTTTTCATGCTATCTGTTTTAAAAATAGTGTTTGCTTTTTTGTTTTAAAAACTGAAAAAAGCAAAACAATAGAAGGATGTTTTCAAAAGTTGTTTTTTTGTTTTCTTGTTTTTGCGGTGGCATTTGTGTAAATATAAGGATTCATTAATGACATTTTCGTAATTAAATCGATTTTATTTTAAATTATTTTTCGGTGGCAATCTTGTAAATATGAGGATTCATTAATACCATTTTTGTAAATAATTACAACTTCTTTATAACTTTAAAACTAATTATATTCAAACAAGTTTTATTATTTTTTTACTCTTAAAATCAGTTTTCAAAATTTATCCTCAAAACAGTTTTTAAAAACCAAAAAATATAAACAGATTCAAACACATCCTAATATTCTAAGTTTTCACAATAAAGTCATCAAATTCAAGCTTTTAAAAAGGATTATATGATATTGTATTAGCGACATACAAAACTAATTCTCTAAATTTCAGTGATTTTATTTTATTTTCTTAAGTTTTAATTATTAGTATCATCAGTAGATATTAGAGTAAAATAAATAAATAAGTACATCAACGAGTATATAAATTAAATGGACTGACTCATTAACTCGTAAATAAAATAAATAAATTGAAACTAAAAGCTTACATGTTATATTTATTTTTTTATAAAAAAAACTTGGCTCGCTTTATTTTAACAAATAAATGTGACAAAGCCGTGGATAAGGCAACCCTCGCGCTCCTGGTTGCGAATAACAAAAATGTATATTTGTCTTGTGATAGGACTGTAGGAGTTAGGGGACAATCACATTAAATTATTATTTTGCTCCCTTGCATTCCACGCTCTGCACGAGTGTGCTATATGTTTTTCTTTTTTTTACCCTACCACGGATACATGACGAGATCATATTTTGCGTTACGTTTTCAAACCTCAACAAGTTGTAGGGTGAGGAAGAGGGATGTAAATAGACTCGGCTTATATTAGGTTATATTCAATTTTTTTATATAGTTAAATAGAATAGATTTAAATTTTAAAAAAATTTATTTAAAAAGGAAATTATAGGCTTTATTTTATATATTGGACCTATATCATATTATTTATTTATTTTAATAATTTTAAATAATAAATAATATTATTTTAATTAATTAATTATTTTAATTAATTAATTATTTAATTATTGAATGTCTAACGGGCTTAAATAAATTAACAGATCTAGATAAATATTTTTATTTTTTAAATATAAGTCATACTAAATTTGTAATTCGGTCCTATACAAAATTAAAAGATCAGACCAAACCTAAAGTATTTTACACAGACATGATTTATTTAAGTTAAAACTTAATCCATCCCAACCCATTTTTACTCCCAGTGAGGAAAAGGTTAGAAGAGCCTTTTTTTTCCTTTTTAAATTTATATAAAAATTTAGAAGTGAATATTATTTTTAATTTTTTAGTTATATACCTAATCTTCGTTTCCTTTCAAAATCTACAAAAAAAGTATAGTTGTAAATATCCTTGCTACTATTTTTTTCATATAAATAGTTATAACTTCAAAAGAAAAATTTATATTATAATTTTGTCATCTTTAAAAAAAACATTTGGCAATCTTGTTGAAATCGATGGTTCTAATTACGAAACTTTATTAATTTGATAATAAATATTAGTTAAATTAAATTACAGCAAAAAATAAATTATTTGGCTTAGTCGAACTTAATTAACTTAGTCAGTTGGTCTGCGTGCAAGTTAATCTTATTATATGTACAAATCCACAAATTTAAAAATATCATAATTAAATCATATAATTATTAAATTATTTTTTAACTTTATTTATATATTATTTTAAAATAAAATATCTATTTATATTAAATAATAATAAATTTTGAATACATTAATTTAATTTATATTTTTATTACAAATTAATTAAATGATTTTATAAGAATTGAGTTGAATAGACATATTTAAATGTAGGGGAATCGTTTTGTGATGTTACTATACAACAAATCCATCTTCCGGTAAATACAATTCAAACTGAGCTCCATTTTAAATTTTTTTCTCATTCCACTATTCAATGGACCCCTTCTATTATGAGTATATAGGAAGATTAAACAATTCCCCTTAAATGTATTGACAACAGAGAATGGAAATTTAAATTAAAAAAAAAAAACCGATGCATGTGTTAGCTATATAAATTAGATATATCTTACTACGGGTTGTATATTGTCCATTTATCAAATCTCGTCTCTTATGCGATCGCGTGAACTTAATGCAACCGTATGTTTTTATACTTAGGGTTCGTTTAAATGAGTTTATAAAAAAAAATTAATATTTATTTATTTTAGAATTGTTTTTTTTTATAAAAGTTAAAGTTATTTAGATTTTTTTTTTTGAAGTTATGATTTTTGAAAAAAATATTTAACTTTTAAATTTTATTTTTTTTAGAAGCTAAAATTTTTAACATCCAAAAAAATAAATTTTTGACTTTTTTTTTCGTAACTTATGTTTTTTTTTAAAGCAAATATCTTAACAAATTTTGTAATAGAATTTTTTTTTTCCTGAAAAATCCATCCAAACAGTCCTTAGGCTATTCAGGGTTGTTGGTGATACACGGATAACGGTATGCAAAATAGAAATTAGACTAAAGTTACTTTTGAGTTCCTAATAAAACATATGGTTTCTCATTTTAATTTTTTACAAAAAAATAAAATAAAATTAGTCTTGAGATTTTTAAGAAATTTAAAGTAAATTTATTTTAGTTCCTTCGAGGGATTAATATGAGTCTTTTTGAATTTGTGAGGACCACAATTTTAACTAAATGAGTCCATTTTAAATTTTTTAAGAACCTCAGGATTATTTTATTTTTTTTAAGAAATTAAATTGATGACCGTATTTTTTGTTAAGAACCCAAAAAAACTTTATTCTAGAAATT